CGCCTTTATAATAATTGTGTAATTATGACCGTCCAACAGTTATCCATTCCATGGTATGTAAAATGACATAACATTCATCGGCGAATACTGTCTTCACATTTTATTACTTTCTTTTAATTTATTTTTCACCGCACATCTTGCATGCGATGAAAATGAGCCACTGGTAGTACATTCAAATGCAAATTACTGAATTTTCTCGAATTTAGCTATTTCATGTTCCCCATTCGAAGGGCGAAAGAAAAGTTTAAAAGAATGTGCAAAGCAATATAAAGTTTGCTCTAGTGTCCACTGTCGTCGTTTCAATGAAGTTTTCACACGTAAGCGTGGCATAAAAGTGCATATAAAAAAGGGAAGAACGTGCTTGTTGGAAAAGGAAACGTACACTTGCGATGTATACAAAAGGATCGGAAGCATGAGCGGTGGTGGAGAGGGCTAGTATTCATATGACGTCTGAACGTACACTTAAACACAAAATATACCGGGAACCTTAATTTTGTAACAAGAAGTTTGTCTTTTTTTTCATCAAACTTTGACAAGAATTTACATGTATTAGTTTCGGGTGTTCTTGGAAAAAAAAACTATTGCTGTATATTCCTCTAACTACCTTTTTCGGTGCATTTCTAAGCCCCATACTCAACGGTAGCGACGTAATGGCAACGCTTGAGTTGAATAGAACGGTATGTGTGAGGTGGAATTGGCGGCTCTGGTGTAGAGCCATTATTCGTCGCTTTAGAGCAGAGGTATACGTAGAACGCTGATTCGTGTTACCATGGCCGCTGGACATAGTATTACAAGTATTGAAACACTCTGGTATTACTGGCTGAAGCGCTGCAAATCAATCTTGCGGCTACTGATGCTCGATGCCATGGAAGTTATAATTGCTCGCGTCATCGAAGAGGCACGCGAAACAAGGCAACAAAGGCAAAGAAAAAACAAAGTTCTCGCACTGAATTTGGACCCCAAGTGAAAACTGCATGAATTTAGGAGCATTGACTCGCCTTTGTTTTCCTTGTGTTCCTGTGGCGTTTGTCTGCTGTCCTTCGTGTTCTTTCCTGCTCCTTTTGTGCCATGATGCGATACTTGGATATCAATTTCTGTTCTTTTATTTGTGCTTACCTGATCTGTTCCGTGCTTATCTATTTTCGTATCTATGGTCTCCTTTCAACTGTTTTCAGTGTGGAACACATTAGGGGGCCGGAATGTCGTATGTTCACTGTGATCGTTTGCTGTCGTTGCCACTTGGCATAACGCAGGCAAAACCGCATACAGCATAGCCAGCTGTAGCATGTTGAGCACGCTCTCATCTTCTTCTTTTTTTCTTCTTCTTCGAGATCGTTGATGATGATATTAAGTGCGGACATTACTACTATACGCACGGAGGAAGGAATGAGAGGAGAGGGAATGCCCATCAGGCGAGCTGCGGGAAAAGTATGGAGAAAATGACGTCATGGTGGCCATATCTACATAGCCCAATGGCGGCATTGATGTGTTTACGTGTTGTGCGGCGTAGCTGCTCTATCAGTGAGCGGTGGCGGCATGTGCGCCTCAGTAGGTCTTGTACTTACCTGTCAGAGAGTATGCGTGCTTTGTGCCGCGTCGTTAGCTACGCAGTGTTACTTCACGTCGTGAAAAGTTCATACAACCAATTCTTGGCCAATCCCCCGGAGCCATAATTGAGGCATCATCACCAAGGCTGCCCAGCTCCGTACTTTCTTCAGGCTTGGCACAGGAAGCAATGTGGGTTGCTACAAGTTCAACAGCATGGGCACTGGCGCTTCGCTCTCGCTTCTCTCTTGCGCAGATCTGCGTCGAGCTCCCGAGGCTGCAGTGTTTCGCTGTCTAGTCGGCCTCTCTGTGACGCTGGCGTTCACGGGCAAGGAAGCTCTGGTGTTTCTAGCATGCAGCCTGCTCGGCTTACGTGTATCAAACACGGGACATGCGTGAGGCCACTACGAGACATGAGACGACGACAGGACGCTAGTTTACGCTACTCCTCAGTTAAAACAAGGTTTCAACAGGGAACTTGGACCGGAAGAAACAAAAAAGAAATGACGCACGTGCATCGAAAGCCTCCCGCGGCTCTACCCCGCACGTGTCGACATAATCCACCCGAAAGGGGTGCGCGAAAAAAGAACAACATCAGCCGGGGAGACGCTCTCCGTTTACCGCATACACGGCACCCTACCAAGCCGAGCTCGTGTTATTCTTGCCACAGAATTTGCTAGCTTTGTCCAAAGCTATAACGCGCATCGCCATCCTCGCCCCTGGGGCGCCCTTTCAGAGTTAGTCGATGTAGTTGCATAGAACAGTTCATATTGCATGGGCGAACGACTGCGTCGTCGTTCTTCTTGCTGTTCTTATTGTTGGCGAACACCAGCGCTTGTGGCCTTTCAGAAAATTTGTCGAATTTGTGTGCCGTGGTTAAGTCTGCATTGTAATAATTCTGCGCACGTGTGCATCTGTCTGTTTGTCTGTCTCTCTCTCTGTGTGTGTGTGTGTGTGTGTGTGTGTGTGTGTGTGTGTGTGTGTGTGTGTGTGTGTGTGTGTGTGTGTGTGTGTGTGTGTGTGTGTGTGTGTGTGTGTGCTCATTTTATAACGTGTGCACTATATGTTAGACAAAATTATGCTTTGGATGGTGTCTAGTGGCGGCAGTTATACCGACACATCAGATCAATCAATGACACAATCTTATTCTGACAGGGACAGTTTCTAGAATTCAGTTTTTCTTAGCTTGGGGCACACAAGAAGAGTAAAATAAAACGGACGTGATCGAAAATCACCCTCAGTGTGCCAATTCGGAGTTTCGTCAGAACGACTACTAAAAAAAAGACATTGGGGTCAACCTCCTCCGGCTCATGGTTCCCACGAGAAATCAAGAGTCCTGGTGCGAGTGAAGGGGTTGGCCCGGTCGTGTCAGTGATAATGATATGCTGACAACAGGTGTTATGAGAGCGCTTCACGATAGAAGCCAGGTGTGGTTGTTGTGTATACAGTTAGAAATGGATTTGGACAAGCGTCTGTAAAAGTGATGTCGCCAAACTTGCGAGAGTGACCGACGGCGTGTGTGTTATGTGCTGTCTTTCTCTTTCCTCCACATCTTTCAGTCCGCCGCCATCCTTTCCATGTGTATCGGTTTGATAACCGTTTGCCTTAAACTGGTTAACTTCCCTGCCTTTCCTTCCCAACTATTTCTTCTTCTTCCTATCAGCTAAAAAAATGTTCGTCGACCGTTCGAGCAAACCAGCGTGATTCTGTTGCGGGGTAGGCGAGGTTATAAATGCTTCTCTGCCTCCTTTGTTGATAAGAGGACACCGTTTGATGCTCTTTCGTGCCATTTTTTGTGCAGGCTGCTGGATGGATTGAAGCGAGGCACCGTCATGACCCCGTGAGTACTTGCGCAAGTGCGATTAATCGGTGCGCAGCTTGTGCTAGTGATTTAAAGAAGAAAGAAATAAGCACGTTACCGCGTTCCGCAACGTAAGTGAAAGTGAAATGCTGAACACAGCTGCAGCATCAAGAGGAGAAAGTAAGTGCGTATGAACGGCTGTGGGTGTCCGCTCGCAAGGGAACGAAAAAGAGGGAGAAGAAGTCTTAGTCTCGTCTTCTTCACTTTGGCAGTCTTGATCTTAAGCTTTGGGTACTATAGATGCCCTGCCTCTGTCGTTGGCACCTACTGTCGTTGGCACCCTGTCTACCCCGTGCCAAATACATCATTTTTCTCCTCCGACGAAATCAAGCAGAAAGAATGCAGTGGCGTGTAGCGCAACGTACCAGAAAAACGAAGCCTTAATAGTTTATTTACAAGCGCGATCATCCTGTTCTATAACTATGCCGTAAGCTTTATATCAGTACCTGCTGCTGTAGTACCGCTTGCATGACTGTTCTTATAGTTTGCGTCGGGGTTTACTGTTCGTATACACTCAGATAGGATCATGAGAGACGCCGTAGTGAAGAGCTCCGGAAATTTCGTCCGCCTGGGGTTCTTTAACGTGCACCTATAAATCTATGTACATGGGCCTCAAGAATTTTCGCCTCCTTCGAAAATGCGCCCTCCCTCTATATACAAAATCAATCACAGTTCCTTAGCTTCTTCCGTGAAGTAATTCTCTCATGGTACACTCCTACATAGGGACATTGGCTAGGATGTTATAGTATACGAAAAGGAAACTTTTGCTGAGGTTTAACGTCCTAACACCGTGATATGATTTTGAGAGACGTCATTCTATAGAGACGTCATCTATCTATCTATCTATCTATCTATCTATCTATCTATCTATCTATCTATCTATCTATCTATCTATCTATCTATCTATCTATCTATCTATCTATCTATCTATCTATCTATCTATCTATCTATCTATCTATCTATCTATCTATCTATCTATCTATCTATCTATCTATCTATCTATCTATCTATCTATTTATCTATCTATCTATCTATCTATCTATCTATCTATCTATCTATCTATCTATCTATCTATCTATCTATCTATCTATCTATCTATCTATCTATCTATCTATCTATTTTCTGTCTTAAACTGCAACAGAGGAAACAGAAAAGCCGGGAGATAGGCTAACCAGGAAATTGTCTGGTTGGCAGGCTACCCTACGCCCGAAGAACAAAAAAGGATTCCAAAAAGTGAAGAACGTATGCAGAACTCTCATCCTAAGTTTCGAAAATTTCCCCAAAATACGTGGATTGACTGTCCTGATTGCAAAGAACACCTTTGACTTTCTTTGCTTGATTGACTTATTGATATTGTGACAATAATGCGCTGTTCATAAAAAAAGAGAGTGGGTGGGTGGGGGGGGGGGGGGCTTCACTTGTTAAGGTTGGAAGAGGGAGGTGCATTTACTGCCGTAGACAATTTAATTCAAAGCGAACACCGTGGCTGAAGAAAATATTGATTCACATGATAGATTGATCGGAGTATTGTTCTCGACTTGCAGAAGAGTGGTCCTCCGGTGAGTTGGGCTGCCTCCAGTCCACCAGCGCCCTTATGGGACCACGAACAGCTGCAGCCTTCTCCAGCGACCACCTGGAGTCTTCCATTGCAGGTGAGTGAGACGGCTCGTTCGCATGGTCGCTGCACACGACAAAGGGGGAGTCGGTGTGAGATGCATCGTCGACAGCGTAACAAAGTTCAATGCAGAACCGTACTTGAAATTCCTAATATTTAACTTTACACTGCATCTGCTTTCTTCGTGCTGGTTACGAGCACCTAAACTTGTATGTTCGGCTGGATTGTCATCTGTAGCTGCCTCTATTACCCAATCCACGATGCTCAACGAGGCTCAGTCGCTGTGACATCACGCAATTGAACGTAGGAGTGACCACACTGTGGGCTTAGGACGGAACGTAAGTGCGGCAAACAGCTAGGGCGCTTGAGCTTGTCGTCACCACCATCGTGGATTATGTGTGTGTTTCCTGACGTTTCATCAGTCGTACTATAAAGAAAGTAAACGCATATTCAAGTTTATTCGTCGGCACAGGAACTTCATGCAATCGAGATTACTCTAACTAAATGCAGGACATCAGCGTTATTTTCATGATTTAATTGAGGTGCCGTATTCAGCAGCAGCGTTTCCCTATAGCGATCTTCTTCTGCGCACTCTAATGCGTGGTGGCAAAGCATGAATGCCGGTTTAAGGTTACACCGGCGACCGAAGAAAGCCTCGGCGATGCGTGGTCCGGACACGCGGCACGATGGCGCACTCCCGTGGCGCCCATCCATTGCGCAGCGGGGGCACCGCTCTGAAAAATGGTGGCGCATTGTGGCCGCGTCAGCGCCGTGTAAACGCGCTTGCACAACGCGAGGCGCTGATTAAACGCGCGCGCTTTCACTGCACACACCGAGCGTTGCGAGGACGCGCTTCTTGGCAAACGCCGTTTTCTCCCTGTTCACCCGAGACGCTATTTTCCCTTTGCTCCGCGAGGAGCCCTAGTACGGAGAAAGGCATTCGCCCCTGCTTTGTCGGCACCACCGTGGTCGGCACGTTTTTAGTTGGGTACACAGAACTTAAGTAGATAGATAAATTGACAGACAGACAGACAGACACATACATACATACATACATACATACATACATACATACATACATACATACATACATACATACATACATACATACATACTACATACATACATACGTACGTACATACATACATACGTACGTACATACATACGTACGTAATATACATACATACGTACGTATATACATGCATACATGCATGCATACATACATGCATGCATGCATGCATACATACATACATACATACATACATACATACATACATACATACATACATACATACATACATACATACATACATACATACATACATACATACATACATACATACATACATACATACACACACATACATACATACATACATACATACATACATACATACATACATACATACATACATACATACATACATACATACATACATACATACATACATACATACATACATACATACATACATACATACATACATACATACATACATACATACATACATACATACATACATACATACATACATACATACATACATACAGAGGTGCTTCGCATTTAAAAAATGGAAAACACAGCACCTGAACTTTTGAATCACTTGTTGTCTTCAGTAAAAGTGACGCAACAAAAGAGTCGGTGCACTTATTCTTTTGCTGCGTCTCTTTTTCTCTCTCTCCGTACTTCAATATTTGAATATTATGGTTTCGCCTATTTTTATTTCAAAATTTTCTTCTAGCCACGCGCAGGGTAACAAGACAGATATTGCGATATGGTTTCTACTTTTCTTTTTATAAGCCTCTCTCTAATAACCATAATAATAACTATTATTATTTGTAAAAACCGACATTTCTGGGATAGTTTAGTTTCTATCAGAAGCGGTTCTCCAGCACGAGGCCACCGAAACAGCTTTCTAATAGCAAGGCGAGCCTTATCAAACACACTCCGGTGAAAGCAGGTCGACCGGTAGTTACCCGCAGTGGCGTCGGGGTCTTCGCCGTGGCGCGGCGATTCTCTAAAACCGTGGACCAACCAGCGGAAACGGCCTGTCTCGGCGATTGTCGCCCTAGGTCCACGCGCATCGGTTTTCAAGTCCGACTTCGTCTTCCTCCTATCTTCACTCGCGGCGTTGACTCGCTTCGCCAGAGCAGGCTGCTCGCGCGGTCTTCCAGCTTTTGAAGCTGTATCCGAGATTAGGACGCTTCGCTTCCCTGAAAGCGACGAAAACGGCGGTTCCGCTTTCGAACGACGTTTCCGTACTCGCTATGAGCTTGCGGTAGGCGTGCCCTGCGGCCAACAGTTTTCCCAGAAAGATTTCTGTTTCGTTTTTCATCTCGATTGCACGCAATGCACAAGTGGGGGCTTCTTTTCGCTGAGAACGACCTGCAGCTTGGGAACCGCAACACCGAAAGTCATTGGGTAATGAAAGCATGAAATTGTGTGAACTGCTAGGTACAGGAGGCGGTTACTTTCTAAGCAGATAATCCTTTTGATATTAACTGATATATTTTTATACCATCCTCCCCATCAATTCCGTGCGACGCATCTTTGACCATATGTTCTTCCGGTGAGTGCAAAGAGCCATTTCAGGTACCAGACGGGAACTAAGGTCCATATCAAACAAGGGGGCTAGTCTTAGCAGGTCTCACTTAACACTAATACACAAATTACAACAAAATGAAGTTGATTCAAGATTCTTCAATCGTTTATATCATCGCGCGTGTATTGTAGCTTGCCTTCATCGTGACAGTTTGCGCGTGAGATTCAATGGTTTGAAATGTGCCTGCGCTCTGTGCTCCACCAGTGTGTTATGTCAGTGCTGATTATTGCGAAGGTGCACTATCGTGAAGACTGGACCTGTGAATTCATATTGTGGAGCACTCGAAGTGAAATAGTCACCGTGGTATCTCCTTTGTGCAACTCCGTCCCGATTCAGCTGCCCTCTTTATGTCGTTGAAATGGTCGATGGCACAGTTTCACGCCGTTTCTCGAAGCTATTCAAACGGTTCCAGTTTGACCTGAAGCTCGACTCAGTAGAATCATCGAAAGGTTCTGGTTAGTCGAAACGCTGCCATTCAGGTTTCGTTAATACCTGAGTATATCGTCTCACTGCGCTGTCTTATACGTATGTAATTATTGATGGAGTTTAACGTCCCAAAACCGAGATATATATATGATGATGACAGACGCCGTAATGGAGGGGTCTAGAAATATCGATCACCTGGGGTTCTTCACCGTGAACCTAAATTGAAGTACACTGCCCTCAAGCACTTCCGCCTCCTTTGAGAATGCTGCCGCCGCAAATGGGATTCGATCTCGCGACCTGCGGGTCAGCAGTCGAGAACGATAACCGCGGGACCACCAGGGCGGTTCCCTGTTATGTACCCCGTTGCCAACTTGATCGATGCATTATACATAGCTGGAAATATACTTTTTAATTATAATCTCACGGGGACAAACTCCTGTACAGTTTCTGCATTGCTCTGATTTCAGGCTTTACATAAGGTAATTCAGACACGTTTTAAACGAAATATTCAGTTAGCCTCTAATAATCGTCATGACCTGGCGTCAGTTTCAACTAACTGTCGTTCTATATCATTGCGCATTACGGGCTATCATGTCTTGTCAGGTCTATGGGATGTGCACAATCATCACTCTGAAATCGCATTTTGTGGAGTGTAGGAACAACACAAACTGTTGCGCATGGCTCAATCCATGCGCCCTGGTGGTGTAGTGGTTAAGGTGCTCGGCTGCCGAAGGCCGAAGGTTGGATCCTGGATGCGGCAGACATATTTCGATGAGGCGAAATTAATGCTAAAGTTCCGTGTACCGGGCGATGTCAGTGCAGTTAGAAGAAAGTGAGATTTAAGAAATTCACCGAGCACTAAGGCGTGCCTTATAATCATGGCTTTGGCCCGTAAGACTCCATATTATTATTATTATTATTATTATTATTATTATTATTATTATATTATTATTATTATTATTATTATTATTATTATTATTATTATTATTATTATTATTATTATTATTATTATTATTTTAATGATGTTTTTGCTATTCGTTATATTCAAGGAAATTCATTCAGTCAACGACTGTCGCTTGCTGCAGTTAGATTTGTGTTGTTTCTTCGAATGGTATGACAACAATAATCTTTCCCTCAATACCTCAAACACCAAGTTCGTGAGCATATCTAAGGAAACATCCATCGTGTCATTTCCGTACTCTGCCAATACCATGCTGTTATGTAAGGTTTAGGATTTCAGTGATCTTGGCATTCTTTTCGATAGCATGCTTAATTTTTCTGCTCACACTAGATGTGCTGCCACGCGAGGCCTTCGTTCTCTCGGCTGTGTTTGCAGAATCCCTCGAGAATTCAGTCCTCCTACAGCCTTCCACAAATTGTACACCGCAATATGCCTTCCTCAACTTGAATATGCGTCTCTGATCTGAAATGACACAGCTAGATCTGGAAATGACGTCATTGAGCGAGTTCAGATGAAAGAATTATAAGCATTTACAAGCATTGTTTTGTTAGGAATATCCTTGGATCTCGTTCAAACGTTGCCAGATTATTCTCATTGCGATCACTTCACTGCCGATGAAATCGCGCTGACGAGTTATTTCTCTACTAACTAGTTCATTGCACCTTACTTCTCAGTTGTGTAAATTTTCGGATTCTGCGTAAGTTAACCGGTCAGAATCTACCATTCTATGTACCCGCCAACTTCTTTCAACGCTTTACTGTACACAGACTATCAAGTCTATATAATGTTAATTTTCATGATCTCGATGATTTTCGCAGTCCACTGTCATTGCTTTTTTATCTCATCTCTGTACTGTCTTAACATAGCTTTTTTTTTTTTACAATGTACAGAATCTTCCCTTTTGCGTCTTTCAGGAAGGTTTCTGAATATTTGCGTATATTACCTTTTATTTTTCATTCCACGATTCTCGTCTTGTCTTTTTGTTCTTCCCATTTTGCGCTGATTTCTTTTTGTACGTGTGTTTTGATTCCCTCTTTGTATTGGATT